ATCAGATGACTGCCAGCGGACAGTATCTGAACAAAGACTTAGAAGAGGAGAAGAACGCGAGTCCGAGTGTTAAGAAATCGCAAATGGCGTCACTGTTCACACCCATCACGTCATTGTCATCGCTGTTAATATCTCCGCTCTCGAAGAAGTCAACCGAATCTCGGAGTCCGTCGCCGACCCCTTTGAAGCCCATCTATGAGTCTGAAAGTCCAGACGAAGTGGCGTTAGTTATCGCGGCGTTTCGTTATAGCGTTAAACTATTGAAACGCAACTCAGAATCGGTTCTTCTCTCACTTCCCAGCGAAGGTGTCATCGAATATAAAGTCTTAAATATTCTGAACTTTGATTCCACGCGAAAGAAAATGTCGATTATATTACGACACCAGAAGACTAATGAGATTATTCTGTTCTGTAAGGGCTCTGATTCGGCCATTTTGGAGAGTTTGGCCAAAACTAGTGATCCAGAGATGAATGAAATGATTAAAATTACTGAAAAACAGTTGACTTCTTACAGTCGTAAAGGTCTGCGAACTCTATGTATGTCTAAACGCGTGTTGACTGAAGAGGAATATAACTCTTGGAATATATTGCATAAAAAAGCCGAACAATCGATTGAAAACAACGAGGAATTGATGTTAGAGTCACACAATCGGATTGAATGTAATTTAGTATTAATGGGTGCGACGGGTATTGAAGACAGTCTACAGGAAAGGGTACCCGAAGTGATCGCTAATCTCCGATCGGCCGGAATTGTCGTTTGGGTCCTAACGGGCGATAAGTTGGAAACTGCTGTCAATATCGCCTATTCGTGTCGACTCTTCACTAACGCAATGGATGTAATTTACTTGAAAATTGAGTCAAAAGTATGCAAATAATAATTGTTATAAATTATAAGCTATAATTGAATTGACATTTGATAGGAAGAATCGAACCGTGTTTTAGAAAATCACTTGAAAGACCTGAAGGCAAAGGGAGTGACCAAAAGGAAGTCTAAACAGAAACTATCGAAATCGTTGTCGTGTTTATTGAAGACGGCGTTATTGGGCGCACGAATGCCTGAGAGGACTGCTGTCGACTCCAATATCCGTAACAAACGCGGACTCGTTGTCGACGGAAAGACTCTATCGTTTGTGATTGAAAAAGAAAGCATTGGTTTGTTTCTAGAATTGGCCCAATTCTGTGGTTCTGTGCTCTGCTGTAGAGCTACTCCTCTGCAAAAGGGATCAGTTGTTCGCGCGGTTAAAGAGACACTAAATGTGATGACATTAGCCATTGGCGACGGCGCTAATGATGTCTCTATGATTCAAACGGCGGACGTCGGCATAGGTTTGACTTATTTTTGCCGTT